TCACAAAATCCAAAAGGCGTGGCCCTGGGGCGTTAATTGTCCAGCCCTATGGAAATGAGTGTGACCAAGGACCTAAACAAATCAATCATGGTGCAGTTAGACACTGCCTCCACATGCAACACACTACCAGATAAAATTGCTCAATTGTTGATCCCTCTAGGGCAAACAAAAAAAACTATCTTACCCACAACAAAGCAACCTATGACAACACTTAGCTCAAACCTATGGGTAAAATGCAAGCCACTTCTCCTTTCTGGCTCAGTGCAAAGCTGGGACTGGTTAAGATCCCTGCAGATGAATTCAATTGACGTGGAACATCACATGGTACCGAAACACTGTCAAACCTCCATCCTGAAGCCTCAGTACAGCTGCCAACAGCCGAGACCTCGCACTCCCGAGACATCCCTATGCTACAAGAACCGATACTTGCACCACACGTTTTATTATTTCGCATCGAAATACACTATTTCCATCCCGCCCTGCAACTATTACTCTAGTGTGGGTTCTTAAAGTATTTCCTGATGTACATACCGGGTTGGGACAGTTTGGGAAGCCTTTTTCTTTTAATTTAAACCTTTTAGTTACCCTAGTCCATGACGCTATCCACAAGCAGCCGCTAGCAAGACATGCCAAAATCAAAGAGCAGTTTGAGAAGATGGAAAGCGAAGGAAAGATATGCTGACAATATAAGCCAACATCTTGGTGCAGTGACATGACTATTAGAGAAGCAAGGAAAAATTTAGAATCTATTTAGGCCCACCAAACAACATTAACAAAGCAATGAGAGGCCCCGAGAATCTAATTCACATTTTTGGCGATAGATTTCACGTGAAGTGTCATGTGACTTTTGATGTAAATAAACCCCGAAAGTTCAAACATTGGCTCAACTACCCACGACCCAGATTTTGGCTTCGATATTTTGTTGTAGATAATTTCCACTGTGGTCAAGCTTTTCTTTGTTCGAAATTGATTTCTTTCTTTGTATTATATGTTTTATTATTTGGTAAGAAAGTTGATATTTCGCTACCACTAAAGTGGATGCGAAGAATGTAGCAGGAAGCGCTTTGGCGTGAAATAATCAAACTAGCTGTGCGTGCATACAGCGATGTATCTGATTAGGTGTTTTCAGGGCGTTAAGCTATTAGATTGTCAAGTAAAACCCCTCGTTACATCTCTCAAGTAGAACGTGCGTTATGATTAGTCCATTTAGCCATAGTTAATCGAGGGGACTGGTTGTGAAAGCCGGCAATCTTCAAAGAGATAGGTTATTGTTTAAGTTTATTGAAGTCACTTGACAACGACCGTGCACACTCAATTCCAAGATGGCGTCGTTTGCAAGCAAACATTATGAAACATGTAGTCATTTGACATGTTTTTGACGCTGAAAATGTAGTTCTCTCATCTTCAAAAGTTTATCATTACGAAAGTGAAATGCCTGGCGATAACTGCTCGGTTTTTGGATGTGGTTCGTGCCGGAGGACGAAGGGAATCGGCATCTGGAAACTGCCTTCTGCGCGAAATGCTGAGTACAAGAAGTGGCGAGAAGAGTGGCTTAGTGCAATCACGAAAACGAGAGTAATCGACGAAGATTTAAAAAAACAGATCGACAGTGACAAGGTGTTTACCTGTGAGAAACATTTCAACCCTGAGGATGTAGAATTATGTAAGTACTGCCGCTGCTATGTCCGTTTTTTTAATTTCAACATTAGTCGCTGCATTAGTTAACTCGCTGGTTAACTACAGTAAAAACCCGCGAGTTAGAACCTGTTAGGCTAAAATTTGCCAGTTATACCCCTTTAATTTAAGAACCACTTAAGCCTAAAATATAGCAACCAGCAGGTTCTTATTTTCTAAAATCAATTCGAAATGTTTACGTTTGCTGGGAAGTAAGATATGTTGACATCCTGGATCCTCTTTTGAGATACTTTGGAGCCTTATCACTCTTGTTTCAATGTAAATGCCAATGCTGAAGCTCATAAACCATTGTTATTGTTATGATCACAGAAATATAAATTACAAATATTAGGAAAATAGGTTAAATACCCCTAAGAGTTTATCAGCAGCAATGTAAATTTTAACTTCAGAAAATGAGAACTTGTTAAGAAACTAAAAAGCTTAGAATTGTGTTAATAACCATTTGTGTAAGAACCTGTTTAGGCTACCTGCCTATTAATATATTTTACTTTTTACCTTTATTTCAGTTCATTCGGAAAAGATGGTGAAAAAGAAACCAAAGATTGGAGCTTTGCCGACATTGAACATGCCGAAGAGAAGTCATGATACAACAAAACCAGCTGCACGTCCTTGGAGATCTGTGGTAAATGTCAACCCCATAACAGAGAGCTCCAAAAAATATTAGCAAAGCTTCAAAGACCTCTGTAAAAGAGTAAAAACTCTCAAAACACTGAACGATTGGATAGTCCAGGAACTAGAGGACAGACTAGTTTTAAAGAAGAAAAGTTCCCAAGTTATGCTTCCAGAAATTCAGATTATGATTGATGATAGTCTGGGATTCACTATTTATGTATTTGGATGGCTTCTACCTGAAGACCATGAACTGTACACTACAAACTTGAGATCAGTTACTAACATTACTGTGTCTGACCTTGTAAAGAGTATCGGCACATTGTCTATTTGTCCTGAGGTGAAACCATTTGAATTGTCAAGCAGTATCCTGCATCATGTAATTGCAAAGTCTGTTGATCCTTTGCTCAATGATGATGATGATGGTAGTTCATTTCCACATCAAGAATATTGGAGAACTCGTGGTTGTGCAGTTTTGTTTGATAATGGCAAACAGTGTTGTAGTTGTCATCATTATTCACATAAATCTGAACTCAGTCACATGGCAAAGCAAAAGAAACTAGCTGAGCCAGCGCATCTATTTTCACCTGTCTCACAGACCACACCAGAGCGAATTAAGCTAACACTGCAGATGCAAAGGTTTAAATGTGCTGAACTTGAGCAAAAACTCGAGGAAATGAAGCTTGAAATACAGAAATCCAGTGTTGAAGTTGACCACCAGTTGAGCCAGGATATTACCAGCATTCTTGGTAAATCAGACATGAACATAACGCCGTTTATGGATCTATTTTGGCAGCAGCAAAAAAAGCTGTTGACCAGAAGCTCAACAGGTGTACGGTACCATCCCATGGTCATACCCTACTGTTTATCTCTTGCTACAAAATCACCAGCCTGCTATGAAGAATTGCGCAAGAGTAAGATCCT